AGGAAGCCCGATGTGGGACTCGATCCCGGGACTCCAGGATCATGACCTGAGCCGAAGGCAGTTGCTCAACCAACTGAGCCACCCAGGCGCCCCTCATATATAATATTTATATTAGGAGGATGGGTGATGGGAGATGGAAGTGTGTGATGGAGGCTGGCAAAGGGAAGAAAATAAGTCCTCTCTTCCAGGATATCTATATAACGCATAACACTGAAATATCAAGAAAGCATTTTATTCAGAGACATGGAGGTAAACATCTCCAAAATAACCAGCTAAAGTTTAAGCAAATCAGTGCATAAAAAATAAAGAAAAAATATTTTGGAAACCATACTACTTTTCATAAATTAGGCATGGAAAAAATACTTATCTTGGGGCACCAGGGTAACTCAGTCAGCTTATTAAGTGTCCAACTCTTGATTTTGGCTCAGGTCACAATCTCAGGGTTGTGAGATCCATCCTCATGTTAGGGTCTGCACTGGGCATAGAGTCTGCTTAAGATTCTCTCTCTCCCTCTCCTTCTTCTCCTCCCCCTCCCTTTCTAAAAAGGAAGAAAAGGAAGGAAGGAAGGAAGGAAGGAAGGAAGGAAAGAAAAGAAAGAGAGAGAGAAAGAAAAAGAAACAAACAAACAAACAAACAAACTTCCTGTCTCACTGGAAATGGTTAAGGGAAAAAGGGAGGAACTGCAGAAAGATCCTGTAATTGGAAGTAACAGTGTGGAAAAAATCTTTTTAAAGACTTTATTTCTAAGTCATCTCTACACCCAGTGTGGGGCTCAAACATACAACCCTGGGATCAGGAGTCACATGCTCTACTGACTGAGCCAGCCAGGTGCCCCTGGAAATTTATTTTATTTTATTACTTTTTAAAATTTTATTTATTTATTTATTTATTTATTTATTTATTTATTTATTTATTTAAGAGAGAGAGAGAATCTGAATCAGACTCTGAGCTAAAGCGCAGAGCCCAACGCAGGACTCAGTCTCACGACCCTGAGATCATGATCTGAGCCAAAACCAAGAGTTGGATCCTCAACTGACTGAACCATCCAGGCGCCCCTGGAAATTTATTTTAAACAAAAAAATTGACTGAACCCTCAACTGCTTTTATGGCTTTATAGGATAAAATCAATAATAAAAAAATTTTTAAAACACAACAGAGATGGCAACGATGCCGTGAACAAAGCAGGAAATGAGGCCAGACTAGCTGGCTGTGTGTGGGGGCCCTACATTCAGGGTCTTGCACCTTCTGGGGAATGTTGGGTTGAAAGCTCTAGAGTAAAAACAAAGAAAAAAAGCAGGGTGGTGTTCTGGAGATACGCCTACCACAATGGACAGATTCATCAAATTCAACAAAGAAATCCCAGCCTGAGTGCTCTTGGACCCTGTAGCCCTGGACACCAATCAGAAGTAGGAATCAGTGCGCCTGGGCGGCTCAGATGGTTAAGTGTCTGCCTTCGGCTCAGGTCGTGATCCCAGGGTCCTGGGATCGAGTCCCGCAT